CAATAACACTCCTTTTTTTCCCTAATCTTTTAATCCTGCTCTGACTATAAAATAGGTGGAATCTCAAAGGAACAGCTTCCAATTTGAAACCAAAACCAGATATATCTACATCTGCCCATATTCTGTGTTCCCTGCTCACATTAGGTGCATGGAAATATGTCTTAGGTTGCTCTGTAGTATAAAGCAAAGGTCTGGAGGATTGATGATTTCCATGGCATTTATATGGAAATGTATTACATAGCCTTCTCCTCTGTGGGGAAAACCAGCACTACTGCACAACCTAGTGCAAATCTGACCACTTGGAAATAGGTAGGGTGATCAGGATTATAAAGGAGAATGAGGATGTGGAACTTCCCTCTCCTGGAATGAAAGACCTGCTCTACTTCCCAGTTTGAACCTGGAAAAATTATCTCTAATGACAGATGCATAGGATAAAACTAGCAAGCTTTAACTTGTATAACTGGGCTTAGAACACTTTGTACGAACATTGGCCCCAGTAGCAGTAAAGCAGTAATTTTACATAACACAGAATTGTTGCTAAATTATTCATCAACACATAAAAATATAACTCTTTGCAGTTTTGCAGCACTGGCTGCCTGCAAATTGCCTCTGACAGTTCCTTCCATAAGTTGGGAAGTTTGGAACATTAGCAGCAAAGCTAATGAATGAGGAAGCATGCACTGTGCAGGCAGCCAAACCACTGCTCTGTGTTTGGTGCTGCTGGTTGGGAACCTGCCAGGTACACCCACCTCCTGAGCTGACTGAAGGACTGAGAACTGGATTTTATCAGCAAAGGGTCTATACTGGGAGAGTTTTAGTCTGGTCTTGGGAATGCTAACCCACCAGGTAGCTGTATCAGGAGAGATATGTGCAGTTTCAGGGTCCTGTCTGTAAAATTCAGACCTATCAGTAGTTTTGATGGACCTGATGCTTACTGAGTCACCTCCTGCATGTCCTTTGCACTGTTAGATGTTGCTGGGGCAGGGAGGGCTGGAGCTCTTTGAATTACATGTGGCTTATTCCTAGGTTCTGTCACAAGGCAGATGCATCCATTTGTCTCTCCCTTCCCCATTATCATTACCTCTGGCTTAAGAAGATGAGATTGCACTGGCTACTGGCATCTGGGTGCTGTAGTTGGCACACACTGGATCATGGATCACTCTCCATCTCAACAGCAGTTCACTTGTGGAGCCTTTGCTCATGGCTATAGCACAGGTACCTGGTTTGCAGTCTTGAGCACTGGCTAAATCAAACCACATTTTGGCTTATCACAAGGCAAAAAAAGCCCAAACCAGTGGCACAACCCATCAGTGGTGCCATCCAAATCAGTACTCTTGAGCTGTGACCCACTCACCCGTGCCAAGCACTACTAGGGACAGATGCCAGTGCTTCTGACAGAAACCCCTCTGTTGAATGCATGGAACAAGACAAAGGAAGCCCATGCCTATTTGCACTATGTTTGCTTTGTTCCTGTTACAGTAAACACAGGTTCTGATGTAGAAGACAATAATGTTCCACAGTCTTGTTCTTTCAATAAGGTTTCCTTTTCAAGCTCCTGACTTGCAAACTGGACAGTGGTGTTTGTGTATGAATAAATGTCCTCTTTCAGTCTGATGTTCAACTGCAACACCACTATGCTTTGTTCAGGGGAAAACCTTTTAGGGCTTCAAGCACAATAATGACCTCAGAAAAGAGACATGGCACGTACATGCTTTTATCAGTTCACAGACAAGAAAGGAAAGAAGGAAAAAAACCCAAAGGAAAAGAAATTGGCTGAAGATAGCATTATATGGAGCTGGGTTTGACATTGCTTCCAGCAGTGACTGTGTATCGCTGCTGTGACTGCGCCAAAACTTAGTCCCTGACTTTCTGGAAGTTCCTATTTTACAGGACAAAAAAAGCTACTGTTAAAAATGGAAAAGGATCCCGTGGTAAAGATGCTTTTTTAACTATTCCTGACCTTCTGAAATTATGAAGGAGACTCTGCACGCGCGTGCTCCTGTACATATGGAATGAGTGATGGGAGGGAACAGACTATGGAAGGGAGCTTGTTCCTAAACTCCTTAAGTGTGAAAAACACAATATTCCTGTTAAGTAGTTCTATTTTCTCTCTCTTTTTGAAGTCTTCAATACTGTAATAAATCAGAAACTGTTTAAACAAGAACAAAAAGTTGGTAGACAAACAGAGGATAGTGGGATTTTCCTATGTGGTGCAGCATCATGTAACGTATTTAAGCAATTATATTTATTTAACAAATAATTATATTTGGTAATAATAACAAAAAAGGTACCTTTTTGCTCTTGGAAAAGGTCGACCATCTTACCATACTTTGATGAACAACCCTGAGAAGGCAACTATAGGGAAACTTTCTCCAGCAAAGGAAGCCATCAGCTATGAACCAAACTCCACACCATACTCAGCAACAAAAAAGTAAAGCAGATCAAAACAGTGATGCACAAAATCCAGGTAAACATTACTGAAAAATCAGGAATTTGTTTCATTTTTTGTTTAAAAAAGAACTTTATCATTGCAAAGGTCATTTTCTGCAAGTGGGGAATTGCAGCCATTATGGCAGCTAAAGCAATATAGCAGGGGCATGGAGTATTTTATGGTGTGTGCTCAGCAACAACAAATGGAGAACAATGGGAATAGTCTAATAAATCTTAACAGACATGTTAAGATTTATTAGGCAAAGCACGTTGGTACACATAATGGATATGTAACCCAACAGGGGATTAGAGATGAGAAACAATACACACAAATAAATACTTTACATATGTAAAAGTTGCTAATTAACGGTTGCAGAAGACAACGATTTTTCATATTGAACCAACAAAGGAGCCATTTATAAACATTTCATTCAGACAAACTGATTCAAATCGAGATTTGTGCAAATCTTTGGATTCAAATTAAACCTTGTGCTTAATGCTAAGCAGCACTCAACAACAGAACTGCTTCTTTCTTTTCTGGAGAAGTTAGAGGGAAAACTATCTCAGGGTGTAGTTTTCCATTGTTTCATAAATGCATCTCTTGTTCCTTTCTTTCTCCTACACACTGGTAAAGTGCCAATTTTTGGCTGTGGCAAATGTAGCATAAATAGTGCAAATCACTACTATGAGCTGGGGAAGTAGAACCATGCCATGTTTGAAACTCTGTAGATTGATGTGCATGTCAAGAGGTCCTTTGGTCCAATACTTTGCATGACTAACGTTAACAGGCTGTCTTTAAAAAAAAAAAGAATCTATACTGAACTCCTCTAAATCAAATAGCTTGTGCAGACAACCAGTATCATTTAAATTAAATATCTAGGCAGAGAGATCTAATGATGGCTGACTTAATGATTGACAATTACTCTAAACTCAAGTTTAAAAAAAATTTAATAAAAACATGTAAAGAAAGGGAAGGAAGAAGTAGAAATTTTTATTTGAGACATGAGATTGGATTTCTTTAAGCCCTGAACATTGAATTATACCTGCACAATAAATAAAGATATCAAACCCAAATTCTCCATTCAGTTTCCGTGGTGATACCATTTTTTCACTTAATTCCAAATTCTTACTAAAAAAAAAAATAAAGGGCTGGATGAATCTGAGCCTTTCCTCTGGTTGAATTGAGGCAGGAGAATGTGAGGACAATCTAGATGGAGAGACACTAAAGAAAAGGGGAGCTCCCTGTCCTTCTTGCAGTCCTTCAAAAAAGAAAGGAGCTTGCAGGCTGTGCCATGACAGGACATGTCAGGGTGTAACCTGGGCAACGTGTGCATCTCTAGACACAGGCTGTGTCTGCACTAGCAAACAGCGTGGGAGAGTAAGAGCAGCCAGACAGATGAAAATACTTGTTGCTGAGAAGGCCATGTCTTTACCAGACACATTTCAAGGTTTTTCTTTTAACTCGGGATGAGCTAACCATTATTACAGCTAAAAGCATGAACAGAAGTTTACTATATGGAAGGGTCACACCTGTAACTAGACTTCATTATAAACAGGTTTACAGCAAAATCTACTAATTTCTTATCTAAATTCATCTAGGGTTAAATTGAGCTCCTACCAATAGTTCAACAGCACTTGGATGACAGTTTAAGAGCAGACGTAAGTCTCATTACCATGAGAAGGGAATGAATGAATCCTACTGTATGTAGCTGAACACCCCCTCCATTTTTAGTTTGAGTTGTGACTGAGCCATCAGGGTCTTTGTAATTTTTTTTTTTTCTGTCAAAGTGAAGATGACATCTTATCTTGTAGCTGTTTTTATAGCTTTTACTCAGAAGTTTAGCTATGAATAAAACTTAGAAACTTTAGTTCTATATAGTGCCAGCACCCGGAACCAGAACCTTTGCACTGTGAAACCCAGAGGATGTTATTGTCCAAAAATCCAGTTTTGAATCCCTTACATTGAAAAGTAAGTACTCATACAACTTATTACACTAAAAGGGTGTTAGGAAGAAGGGCTATGCACACAGGGCCTTCAGGCAACACTAAGAACAAGCAGAAGGAGAGATGCACTGAAATTTGCCTTGTAGCAGCCAGCCAAGGAAGGAGTATTTGCTGCTCTGGGGAATATCTACAGCATCAAACTATGAGTGACTGAATCTTTTCCTGTGATAACATTTTCAACATGGTAGTGCCTCTGATGGCTAGCCCACCAAGAAATCTTTAAAGGCAAAAGAAGGATAATCACAATCAACAGAGGTGATCTTATTTATCAGAGTGCAACTGAGCATCTTAATTCTGAATATATTAGCTTCCCTAATGAGGAAATGGAACATTACCAGTACTCCATCATTGTTGAAATGTATATAACTCACATATTGATCCTAGATGATGATTTCTACTGCACTTCTAAACTGTTAGTTGTGAGCACTTTCCTGGCTTGAGATACTTCACGTTAGACTTGAGATACTGAGCACAGCATACTGGTTTGCTAAAGTTCATTTCTAGTTCCAATTTCTTTCAGTAAATGGCAAATATTTAACAAAAAAAAAAAAGAGCCTTTAAAGTCGTCAGGTTTTGATTTTGTTTTTATTTGTGGCACTAACAGACTTCAATATTTTATAATTTATAATATATAGTCACATTAAATGCAGATGGCTAAATATTTTCGTGCTTTCAACAGTCCATAGCTATACATTTTAAATTCCAACTTAAAGCAAAAATCTGCCACTGCTGTAGTCTGTGATTATAAAAATGTAAATGTACAAACTTCATCTTCTTCAGTTTCATTACAATATAGGAAATGTGAAAAAGCATTTTCATTTGTCCTTTTTAAGTTAATCAATTTAATGAAATATTTTCAAAATATGTACAACAACAACTACCAAAGTAGTTAACATTTGAAAAAGATGCTTCTATAAATACTTGTGAGACAACACACAACAGCCATACGCATTAGAAACCAAGGGCCAACTTATGCATGACCTGAACAATAGACCACAAAAGTCTTGGTTACTGACATAAACCAGCTCCGCTTCATTTTACAGTGCAGAATGAATTCTACATCTTCGACCTCTATACTCTGAATCATATTCATAACCTTCACAGTCTGTTGCAAATAGAGATCCTTTAAGGTGGCTCAATATTTTTGAAGTTCCATGTTTGTTACCAGGGTTCAGCATATCTCTGCACATTAGCATTCTATACGTCATACCCCATAAGTAACTTTTCAATAGACACTGTCTCACATTCATTATTGATTGCCTGCTTTCTCAGAGCTCCAGCAGAGATACAAAGTTAATTTAATTTTAAAAACCAGTGACCCCAGCACATGACAATTTAGGTATCATAACTTTTTTCTTGTGATTGTTTTTTATAGATCTTTACTCTGGTTTTCACCCTAATTGCTTACAGCCCTTCTTGAAATCAAAAAAGAAGCAAGTGAATAGTTTGAAATAGTTATATATTTTTAACAGCTGGAAATGAGTATTACTTTTCAGATAGCTAGCAAAGTTTTTAGTTTTGCCCATAAACACAATTAAGTATTAACATAGGACTGCACAGTGTTTATATTCTTATTAACCTGCCAACAAGAATAGTTTATTGGCAACCTTAAATATTCAGAGGCAAAACACAATTCCTTGGCACAGAAGCTTTACAGCAGAGCAACATATTTTCCCCTTAGAACCATTATGCAGGAACACACAGAAAATTAACTACAACTTATTTTGGCTTGTAGTCAAGAGAATAAACTAAACTTCTTGATGTTTTTTGCCACTTCAGACTTTGAATGATGATTATGGGTGCATACGGGGTTAGATTTTCCAGTTACCTATTGTTTTTACATGATTCAAACGAGCAGAGGGACCTGTAAGAAAGAAAAGCACATGATCATTCAAGATATTTTTAAACCTCCAACTGTTGACATTGTTAACCAAACATTCTCCCGTGGGGCTGTTTTCAAGCTTGGTTTCTTCATCTGCTCCTTGAGACTACTTAAGCTTATGTGCCCTTATTCCTAGCTATATCACTTGGTTTAATGAAAAGTGCTATCCTTCCCCAAAAAACTCACACCTCATACATCCTTAGGTATTATGTTTGCAATTGTGTTATTTCTGGAGCATAGGTGATTCATTTTTCTGTGAAATTCCTTCATTTTGTGGAATGAACAGAAGCCCCGGCTGCAAGTATGCAACATCTTTTGCAGATGCATCTTTTACATCTGTTGCATCTAATGCAACATCAACAGTCAAAATCTACTCTCTATTGGTTAGCTGTCACTGGCCATGAAAATGAATTGATGAGTACTTTGCTTTCTGATTGAATGAAGGAAACTCCTGGTGGCTTTGATTCAGGAAAACACACAAATGCTTATCTTCCTTCCCGGTCCTCGGGTCATCTAAGCATATTCGTTATTTTAAATACATATGCTAAGGTGTTCTTCCAAATTCAAAGTTACTGAGCTTTGATTCTATCAGAGAGATATACATTAAGGTCACCACAAAAGCTGAACAGGAATAATGCATTTGATCAAATCTAAATTTTCCATTTTGACCCTTACTCTTGAGGAAAAAAATAGGTCATGGTATAAATTATTAGCAAGGTGAAAAGTTCAAATTATGTTTTATCTTCCAATTCAAACAGAGTAACAGCATGCAAATGCCTGCCTCTCACTGTGCATGGGAACTAGAATCACTTTATAAGCTCATTTGACTACCTGTATATCAAGCTTGGTCAACCTTATCATTGGGCCTCCTGCCTCATTTCCAGCACACCAAAGCATACATCAACTGTGGCTTTGAGTCTGTAAGTTCTTTCATTGCACCCACAGATACTGATAATAAGAAGCAGTATTTGTTCATTCACAATTATACTTCTCTGCTTATGTGAGAAGAATAGTCCACTGCTTGACATAAAGGTATGGAACTAGGCCATGCTTCCTAGAAGACACTCAACATGACATAATTCTGATCGACGCGTTACTTGTTGACAACCAACTCCAAATTATCCCAGAGAACACAGGGACTCCTTGCAATTGGTGCAGTAATTATCTTACCTGGCTCCTTTGATTGCCAACAGAATGATACACTGCACGTATCAAGAGCTGACGTGACCTAATGCTGATGCCAAACATCACCATGAATGCTTGTGGGAATTGTGATGGAGCCAAATTAGTTTTTAAAAATCTCAGTGAACAAACAGAAAAGGCTACTTTGGTGTAACTACAATCTTTATTGGAAAATACATGGAATCTGCAGAATCTCCCTTGCACATACCATTAAAAAGTGGTCTGAAGCAATCACTTTACCAAGAGCAACAGCCTATTCTTCAGAGATATAACTTGCTTTCCCCATCACATCCAGACAAATTCCTCTGCGATATTTCTACCAAATCTCTGAGTACAGAGAGTTATGGCATATAAGCTAAAGCAACTTTTATAGCTTCCCTTTGTTCCCTTTTTAATCCTGCATGGACTTGTGCTGCAACTATACCTACAGCTAGACATCTAATGGGTTATTTGCATGTGTAGTTATGGTTTTTATCCACAAATAGTCATGGTAAATCCCAAGGCAATTTACATAAGTAGAAAAATACACATCCATTGATATAGAGAATTTCAGACATCTAGCTGCATTATTTTGCATTTTATGAGATGGCAAATAGGAAGTTGAATACTGCACATAGAGATCTTAACTATATGATACTGTTTGACACAATTTAAGGAAAACACTAGTTCACTTTTAAAATCAGAACGTTAAATGGTACAGCTCTATGACCTGAGTTCTGTCCACCAGAATTAGCCAAAATTTGGTCTCAGAGGAGCTGTTTACTTCCTAGATCAGCTGATTCTCCTTTGCTCGCGTGGCAGACCCCATGGCTGGGAGAGCCTCCTTGCTAGTGAGACATGTTCATTTCACATAAGTAACCACCAAAGGCACCAGGGAACCCATCCTGGATGGTGGCTTTACTTGATGCCACCTCCCTGACTTGCTGTTGTACTTTGGATGTGTTGAACACCTGTCAGGCTCCTTGACAGATCATTTTAAAAACTGAAGAAAAGGGTTACTTCCTTGTACATTGGCAGGTGTTCTCGAGATTGGTAAATTCATCCCATTCCTGTAATTCATCCATGTCTCCCTTTCTTTTGGGTAGGATCTGTAGTGTAACCGCTTTCTGGAAGGTCTCTGAACTGCCCTGCACTAGGGATGAACCACTTGACTGAGCAGGCTCAAATGGGCTTGGCACCTGCAAGAATTTTCCTTCAAGAGTCTGGACAGCAACAGTGCAATTCAAAGCTATTTTTTCAAAACAAAGAGTGATTTATTTGCCCAAACAGGCACAGTACTCCAAAAAACGGATTAAGGAAGAGAGAGGAGAGCTATGCAAATACTATCTTACCTATACTTGGCATTTCCCTCAAGCATCTATTTCTGCTCTGGTTTCTTTTGGCTGACCCAATTAGAGACTGTGCTGTGCAGACCCTGACTCTCAGCTAAGCAAGGTCAGCCTGCAGCAACTTCTCTCCTCATTTCCTGCACAGTGAATTTTTTAACCTTAAAGTTCATGACTTTAGCAAACAGCTGTGTAATCAGGGGAGGAGTGGAGGAGCTGCCTTTTCACAGATAATACTTGAGCTCCAATGTTTGTTGGGATGCTCCTTATCTAGGTAATTGGTTGCTTTTTACATTTGCTTCCCATGACAGCTATGTTTGATCTACTTCCATTGCAACTAACCCCACATAAATAAGCACCGAGTCACGCATAATTATGCAACACAGATTTTTCCCAGCTCTATTAGCTAAATAAACGACTTTGCTGTCAGCAACATAGATTTTTCCCGGTTCTCCACAATATTAGCTAAATAAATGACTTTGTTGTCAGAAGTCTTTGTCCCAGAAGACTTTGAGAAGACAATGGAAGAGAAACAGATGCCATTACTGAACTGAACTACCTACTCTGCTGCTTAGTTGCTGCAACCAAAATCTTCCAGGAAGCAAAGCCAAAAACAGTGCTGTGCTCACATCTCCAAAACACAACATCATAGAACTTTGACAGAGGAGGCAAAACAAAGAAAAAATTTGCTTCAGCCCTGGCACAAAGCAACCTGTCAGCCACTGCCTACAAAAGACTCGGTGTTCCTTAGACACGGGTAAAGGAAGAAAACCTTGATATTCAGTTATTATGTGCTCACTGTCTTCTATGGATTCAACTTTTGCTCTCACCAAGTTGTCCAATTGCAGGGAAGGATCAGAATTTGGCTCACAATATAATGCATAATACTAGAAGAGATATTAAAACACACTGGACAGAAAGCCTTTTCAGAAATCTGACAATATTTTTACTTTAATCAGTTATCAAGGGCTTGAGATCTCAGACGTCAAAGTGTCATGATGACTTTGGCACACATAAGACTAGCTTGCATATCCAGTATCTGGAAGGACAGCACAGTAATAAGAAAATCATACTCTGTCTTGGACAAAACACTGCTCTCTTTTATTTTCATAAGAGAACTATATAATGAAATGTACTCTTCTGTTGTTTCAATGTCAAAAGTAGCAAAAATTATTCTGTCTTGGAAATGAGACAAGACAGGCACAGTATTTAGCAGAATACATCCATCTATCTGGTGTACTTTCATGACCTGCACTGGTTATCCAAGTGTTTTGAAATAAATCCCCAAAGATATGATAAAGACTTGTTTTCATGAGTAGAGCTATGGATTCCCTCAGAGACTTCTGCAAGAGCAATGCAGTTGGAAGAACAAGAAATTTGGAAGTATCTAGAAAACAACTGCATGAAGTGCCCTTCAATGTCCAAGTCCCATTTTTTTCTGTCAATTGGTCAAGTGGGGAAATAAAGGCCTGACTTCTTCATAATTTGTAGTCTTAAAATCACAGAATTTCTCAAATTGGAAGGGACCCATAAAGATCACTGAGTCCAACTCCCTGCTCCTCCCAGGAATGCCTAAAACTAAACCATATGACTAGGAGCATCATCCAGCTGCTCCTTGATCTCTGTCAGGCTGGTGCTGTGACCACTTCCCTGGGAAACCTTTTGCAGTGCCCAACCACCCTCTGGGGGAAGAACCTTTTGCTGAAGAAACTTCCCCTGACACAGTTGCATTCCTTGGGATCTATTGCTGGCCATCACAGAGAGGAGTCTGTGCCTGCCCCTCAGCTGCCCTCCTCAAGGAAAGCAGTGACTGCAATGAGGTTGCTCCTCAGCCTTCTCCAAGGTGAACAAACCAAGTGTAAACTCAGCTGCTCCTCATAATTTTATGCATAACATAGATGTAATTTTTCACATGAAAAATTAACTGCACATCCAGGTTCCTGATGTAATCAGATCATGCTGATGTAAATTTCCCTGAAACACTGCTTTGTTTTGTGCCATTTATCTGATTCTGTGGAATTTCTGGTTTATCAGAAACCAGATTTTTGTTTTGACAACTTCTGAATATTAAAATTTGAGTGCATTTTAAAATTATTTAAATGAGGAAAAGTGAGCAAGATTAAAGTCTATTTACAAATTTATGGTTGGTATCAGCTAACTCATGTGTTGGGAAAACTGTATCTGCTTTTCTACATTCCTTTAAGTCCCTGGATCAAAGTCTATTCTTGGATACTGCAGTGCAATATTGGGATGCCTCCACTCAGGACAATTGATCTGCTTCTCTTTCCCAAGAAACACCATATAACTTGAGATAGGGAAGAACAAAATTTGATTAAAGAGATAAGTAAAGTTACGCCAAAAATCACACACAGGCAACTGAGCATTTAGTCATCTGGGAGCTGACCGATTCACATCTAACCACAAAAGTGAAACACACACAATTCAATTAATAAAGTTCAGGCAGACATTAAATTGACCTCACAGTTTCACTGACAGCTCTCAGCACATGTGATCAAGGCTTAAGTGCTGGGAATCAAGGTCTAGGACACACTGCAGAAGTTAGGAGAGAATATTTATTTATAAATTTGCTTCAGGGTCTCATATCTGATCTTTCTTAGGCTCACCTTGTCTAAAGGACATCCAGTATTATCCCAGATAATACAGAATGAAAAGGTCATGAAAATGAAATTATAGTCATGCTCTTGATGGTCTCTTTAATAAAACACATTGTCTGTTCACATGGTTGCATATATGCATGGGTGTGTTTCATTAGCTGTTCAAAGGTTTCAAATACATTCCTGATCTTTGATTCAGTTAGAGGAAATAGTGCATGTACCTCCTTCTGATGGAAGAAAGAAATGTCTGCCTAGAACAGCTTAACAATAGTTCTGAAAACACAGCAAGCATAGGTTGCTTCATCCACTGTAAAATATAAAAGTACATTTACCTTTCTTAACTTTGCTGCTCCGGCACCAGAGCGAATGGCCTCCAATAGGGCTTGCCTTGCCTCCATTGGATTACCTGAAGCTGTGGCAGAGGATTTAGGAGCTGCTGCTGACAGCTGCATGGGAGGTGGTGGTGGTGGCTGCGCAGGGGCAGGTGGGATACACAGCTGCTCTTCCTGAAGGTCTTCTGCCTTCTGCAAGGACTGTTCTGCGTCCCTAAAACGCTGCAACTCTTGGGAGGCCAGTGAGGAGATCTGCTCATCATGCAATTGAAAGAAGGTAGTTAATATCAAGCATGGCTAAACTGTAATTATTTGACATTAGATTCACTTTCAGTACCCCGATTTCACTTTTCTTGGATGATGTAAAACCCATAGAACTTTTGTTTGCTCATGGGGTTGAACATCTGTTACTACTCACTCACATCACTCAGCTGGGCTGATTACCAGCATCGAGGACTTGGCATTGAATCTGTCTCAGAAACTAAATCTTTATTTACTGTGAGCTTCAGCATCCTGTAACTCTTCTTGGCATGCAAGGTAAGAGAGAAAGTTGGACTTGGTATTAATTTGGAAACAACCACAAGGGTTTTGGAATCAGGAAGATATATTAAGGCTGCAGTAGCCACCCAGGAATATGATTACTTTTTGCAGTCTGGGCTGCACAGAAATAATCTCAGATGACAGGGAAGCTCTTCCAGATCTGAGCTCTCAGACATAGCTTCACTGAAAAAAAAGCCATTAAACCTAAAGTTTCCAGCCATACTTAAAAAAAAATAAAATACCAGAGAGAGCTGCGTGAAAGCACTGAGGACAAAATCAATTGATAATTCTTCCAAGTGTATTTCTATGGAATTTCAGAAACTAAAATTTCTGCACAAATTACCAGCTTGGAAACTCATCCTACTTTAAATGCATCCAGGCAAAGAAGACAGTCTTTCAGACTAAGCCAGTTTTTCCATCAACTGTGTCAAGATATACTTTTTTCCATTAATACTGGTTACAATCATGATGAATTGTTAGTAATTACAATGATTCAGCAATTATTAAGAAATTCAGTACTACAGGCCAAATAGGTTTCCAAGCAGATTCATTATAATTCATTTCTCAGACAAACTTCAGCATAGCTTCTGTGGAGAAAAAGTAAAGGGGTCATTTCCCCTAAAATAACCCACAGAGAGCTCCTGTATTATATTCCTTCCCTATACATATATATACACACAATATATATATGAGCATCATGTCATGTTACATAAAAGGCAAACATTTGAGACAACCTGAAAAGGACACCACATCTGTACTGTGCCCTGTACACACACAAACACACTGATTTAACTAGTGCAGGTGACATGGTGTGAAAAAGCATATGGTTTCTAGGTGACTTCCTTTAAAATCATGGCAAAAACTTCTCTGCCAGAGGAAAGTATTCAAAAAACTCTCAGTGATGACTTCATTGTCAGAGCCTCTTTTACACAAATTGCTATTTATTCCTAATGAATGCAGAATGCAGTTAAGTATGTGTGAAGATTGCTGCTGCTTAGCACATCTCGCTCCCAGGCTCAGAGGAAGCTGTGCCCTACCTGCAGCAAGGGCAGTAGGATATTTGAGGGGTGAAGTAATTCCCTAACATAGGCAAGAGAATTTTTCTATCTCATGCCAGCTATCTGAATATGTGCTAATGAACTGAGTCATTGCACGAGGGAAAGGGGAACCTCTTTGCCAAGGACACATCTTTGGCTGGATTAGTCAACTTAGTGAAAACTAAGGCTAGAAAAATGCAGGTTTTGGCTATTAGGAATAAGAAATGCTTTAATGGTTAGATAAATCTTTCAGAGAGAAGGAATCATCCTGCTGTGGTGAATGTTGATGAAACATCAATATCAATTACTTGCATCATGTTAGCAGATACGTGTTAGCAGATATACAGCACGTATGAAGAATCCCTAGTGTGTTTTCAGGGAGCTGAGATTGGGTATATAGGGTAGGTAATGCAAATATATAATCCAACTGCAAACTCCTAAACTACAGCTTCTCTGTGCAGAGAAGCTGTGGATGCCCCATCCCTGTTGGTATTTGAGGGCTGGTTGGATGGGGCCTTGAGCATCCTGGTCAAATGGGAGAAGTCCCTGTCCAAGGCAGAGGGGTTGGAACTAGATAATGCTTCAGTCCTTTCCAACCAAAACCATACTAAAAAAAGACCTCACCTAAATGTGAAAATGATGAACATTTGATGTCTTCTATGTACATTCCCTGTAATTGGTTTGGATTTCTATGTGCTTCTTTCTAAGCTACAAGCACACTATTTAAAAGACCTTTAAATTTTATAGCAGAGAATAGGGTTGAACCTGCTGTGCTGTCTGCCTAAGTAAGATCTGGTCTTCTGTCATATGCTTACCCCCTCAATTTCTCTCTTTGCAGCACAATGTTTAATTTGTGGGATATTTGGGTTTATTCAAAACACGCAGAAGGAATAGAATGCCCTTCAAAGATCACTTACCATCCTGATTCCTTACCTTTTTTAGCTTTGAGGTGCCACTGTGGCCTCTAATTGCTGCTAGTAGGGCTGAGCGCTCATTCTCTGGCTCAGCGTATGAGGGTTTCCCGTGATTGCCATTTAATGCACCATTTGAAACCTAGAATATGAAGGGAATAAACCTCACATTGTTATTAGATATTTACTTAGAGATATCTTGGAAACACTTTTTGGCACTTGTACCAGAATGCAAACTATGAAGACTAATCAGTTTGTCTTTTTTTGGGCCCGCTTGTAAAACCTTATTCACACTGCACAGTAAGGGTATGTGTAGACAGTAATGCTGTACTTGGAGATGCAGTCCATATCCCCTGAGCATGAAGTCAGTGGCATACTATTATACCCTAGTAAAACAAAATGCAATTTTCTTTCACTGCAGATATTTACAAGTTTTCTCCATGTTCCTGTTTTTACATAACACACTGAAATGAGGGTTTAGCTCTCAGACTAACCTCAATTACCTCTCCTTTATCTGTGTCTATGCACCCTCTGCCTGTCCAGCTTGTGCAGCAGCCATGATGTTGTATAATATACAGGATGTGCAGAATAAGCAGCAGCTTGGTCTGCATTTTGCCATTATAAATTTTTCAAATGTCTTGCGTTCTCTGGCTCACCAGCAGCTGTATAAGTTACCAAACCTCTGGTGTCTGACAGGGTGAGTATAGGGCTCAGCAGTCTGAGCAGGTTAAAAAAGGTTTCCACTTTACCTTTCTGAGTTTTTCCTTTCCCCCTCCAGTTTGAATGGCTTCCATTAGGGCACTGTGCAATGATGTGTCTTTTGGAACTGGCTTTTGGATGACAGGTTTAAACTTCTTCTTTGGTCCGAAAATATTGGTCTGCACATTAAGATCCAGTTCACCAACAGTATTAACATCTGAATCATCAGGTTTCTCCTCCTGTTCTGACTCTGCATTTGCTGCTGCACCATTTAGCTCAGGTGAAGCTTTAAGTGAACCAACTTGTACACCATTAGTGGGACGCCATTTAGTGACTCGTAAAGACGAGCTCAAAGAGGATGGGACTCCTTGGAGATCAGGAGACTTGAGGGATGAGGCTGAATTAGTATGGGTCAAAGTCTCACACTTCTGGTCAAACACAGTCTTTTTCTCTGCTACACTTAGCTTGCTGTTTAAATCATGATCATCTTCTGCATTGTTGTTATCCTTTGAAGAGGATTTAGTAAGTGGGACACTGGCATTCTTTTTATAGAAACTCACAGTAGTTGCTTGATTTGGTGCCCTGATATTAACTACTTTGTTTTCCATGCCAGAATTATCACCAGGTGTAAACCTGTGGGATGCTTTCTGACTGCAAGCAAAAATACTTGAAAGGCTTTCTCTTGTTTCTGCTGATTCTGTTTCCACAGGGCTATATTTGGCCACAATAATACATCTTTTTGGTGAAACTTCCGCTTCATTCTTAACCTCTCCTGCCCCTTGCTTGTTTTCATCTTTCTCATTATATTCCATAGTGTCAGATTTAAAGGTAGATGCATTGATGTGTCTTGCAATGGCAGAGGCAACATACTGACTTGAAGTTCTCCTGTGTGGCTTTACAAACGGGAGTTCCAGCTTGTCCTTACTAATGGCCGGGGCTGCTAATGGTGTTACCTGGGACTGGGTAACTGAAAGGGCTGGTTTGGTCCTCTCATTCTCAGATGGTCTTTCAGCTACCTGGGTAGTAACAGTTTGTGGTGCTGCAGGTTTTGGAGCTGAAAGACAGACAGGTTTGTGTTCATGTTTTATAGTAAAGGGCTTAGAGTTTGGGGTGACTGCTGACTTTTTAGGAAAATGCTCAGCAGAGTCATCACTTTGCTTTTCCATAGAACTTGACCTCCAGAATGCCTTCACTTTCCCAATATGAATTTCCTCACTTTCATCAGAAGAAAAACCTTGTACAAGCTTACTAACACTAGTGTTTGGGCCTATAAGATTGCCCTGTTCATCTATCTTAATGGCACCAGTGGAGACTGAAACTCCTCTATCAAAATGTCTTACTTCTGGTTTGGGAGGGACAACTTTAAATGTTGTCATGCCCATTTTAGGTTCGTAGTTTGATCCTGAATTCTGGGCACGATGACACCATGTGGGTGTTGATGGGACTTCTACTTCCGTTGTTTTTGCTGGTGGCCATTTGATTTCTAACTCTGATTTACTTTTTTTCAGAGATTTCTCTCTGCTACTACATTCATTAACTGGATTTAGCTTCTCTTTTGCTGTACTGATTTCAGCCATGGTTTTGGAGTGAGATGGACTCAGCTTGGATTTACATTCCTCAAACTTCATACCATGTTTAGGAGAGGGTTCCAGTCTTAAGTTCTTTTCATTTCTTTTTTCAAAGGAGGATGTGAGAGATTCAAAAATATCTCTCCTCTGTTCCACAGGCAAGTGAATGAATTCATTTTCAGATGGTTGCTGATATATTAGGTCCTTGTATACAGCTCCACCATCTGTGAGTCCCTTATCAAAGGAGCCTGCATTGTTGTTTTTATTTGTGAAGTTTCTTGCATTAACAGAGTCTGCTGAGATATTCTGTGAAAGCTTAATCTCCACCTCTTGATTTTCATATGAGTTAGAGGTGCTAATTTCTGGAGCATCATCTATGATTGTTACTGGAACAGAAATGGAGACATCTTGGGCGGCCTCAACTTTTCTTAAATGTGGGTTCAAGGTTTCACTGGTGTAGTCAGAGTCAGAGTTACTGACACGATCCACTGCTGCAAAATACATATACAATGTTACATACAGGCAGTATTTAGGCAAGACGACTATAAATTACACAAACAGCCAGTACAAATTTAAGCAAACCATGTATTTTAGTTACACATTAAGTAACTGACTTTTTTTTATGCCTGCATTACAAAAAAAGGAGACGTCCGGGTCCTTCTTATTGTCGGGTTGCTGATTAGGATCGGCAAAATATTCCTGCAGTTCTGCTTCAGCCAGTGGGAAACACACAAATGCAGCTGAAAGCAGAATTCCATCTATTGTTCATACCTTATCTTTGACTAACTTATCTAAGTGATAAACATTTCACCACATGACTCCAAAGCAGAAACATTTCTAAGAAACAGCAAGCAACTCCAAATTGTATTTCCCAGACCTGGTTTGTAATAACAGCCCAGCTGAAGGATTTCCTTGAACAAGCAAAAAAAAAAAAAAAAAAACAACAGTACTTTTATTTTTTCTCCATTCTTCTCACCCTTTATTACCAGTGACTCCAGAAGCCTCATTGTGCAAGAGGGCTATATATCCTCTCAAATTTGCTGGTATAAATCAAAGGTTGCAACACAAGCTAAGGAATGGCTGTGTCTGAGAACTCACAAGAAATCAAATCAGACTCAATTCCATCACAGAAGTATTAAAATGAAGATGGGAAGTTAAAAAAAAATCAATGTCATTTGTTGACAAACCAATAATAGAGAAGTTGGGGTTTTTTTTGACAGTAGGAAAAAGAGAAGCTCAATATGACATTTTATCTCTTCCCACTGTTTCATGTTTTCCAATTTTAACTTTTAAATGTGCCTGTTAACACAGAGGAGACACTGGGTACAAAAATGTTCCATCCTTTTCCACTTCATAATGATAAAATAAAGACAGAGGGATTCTTCATTAAACACAGAGCTAAATTCACAACTGATGTAGCTTCACTGAAGTCAGTGAAATTATACTAAATTTGGCCTATAAAATGTGTCCATTGACTGCTGTTCATCTCTTTTTGGTAGAAGACATTGAAATACAACAACAATCTGACATGCAGTTTGAAAAATATTAAGTGGGAGCCTATAAAGGGTGTCTGCTCCTAAAGCAAAGGAGCCACTTAGGGAGGACCACGTTCTACCTCACACACATGAGTTGTTCCCCGTGATCTCAGTGAGAAACATACAGGATGTCTCAAGAGTACAGCTTGATTCTGCATTCACTGGCTGTGTCTCTGTCTTTGGCACTTCAGAGGTAACACACGCTTTCCTACCTTCTAAATCTTCATCCAGGTCAGCCAAAGTCTGCTGGAGCTGTGCTGCAATGAATGTATCTTCATTCTCATGCTTAGCCAAAGCTGTTGCTTCATCTTGCCTGCTAAAGGAAAGAGAAGAAAATCATTGAGTGTCTCCCCTTTCTTTCACTTTGCACTGTTGCTCTGAAACACACTATAATTTCAGCCCCTTTGCTCCCACTGAGGTTCTCAGACTCATTCCCCAAAGCATGAAAACTGTGTAGCCTTACACACAAACCATTGGACTGACACATCCACATCTAGTAAAGATCTCAGTGGGGCTTGAGCAAACCCAGTGTGCTGGTAATCAAAAGATTACGATTAATAAAGCCTGCAAAGAAATGGTCTGGCTTCAGTGTGAAGTACACATTTCAGCTGGACTGCAGAAACACAGCATATGCCAAGACAAAGGTTTTGCACATCCATACAATTTTAAGGCAGACCACTAACAATCCCGTGCACTCGCTGTAACAATATATGTGCACCTTAATTAAATAAAAATTGCATGGTAATGAAAAATAAGTACACTCAAAGTACTGTTAGACAATCACTCTGCATCTTGAGGTGTGGGAGGGAGTGAAAGCAGTTTCTAATGAAACACCAAGGGACCTGATTTTGCCAGAAAACTGATGAAGCTGTACAATGACCTAAGACAAGCCTGAAATCAGAATCTGAGTGCCAAGTGTTGATTTGGCTTATTAAAAGAAGAAAAAGAAAATGAAACAAAATAAATCCTAAAAACACCCCCCAAAATTATAAAAAGAGAAAACAACAACAAACCAAACAAAAAACCGCCTGTATGGCAACCTGGTACACAACAGTTCTTGTTTTTATTAGAGGAAAATCTTGATCAGCAGATCACTTTTATTCAAATCATCGAAACTAGAATTTCACATTGGACAATTTATTTCTTTCAGTTACCTCACCCAAATTTAAGATGCTGTGGTCTGTGACACTGTATCTATGTTTTTCCCTTGTAATTAATCTATTGAAAAAGTTGCTTTCCATTCCATCCACACTTAAACTAATTCTAACTGGGTGAAGCAGATTTGCCCTTTTCAAGATCATACCCTTAATTGCACAGATACAGTAACACATGACAGATTTTTTTTGTTAGTTTACCAAACACTACCTGAAAAATGCCATTTTTCTTCTTCCCTTTAAAACAGTAATCTGAATAAAAATGCAGGCATGTCTTCTGACATTGATTTAAATTTCGTCCAAAAATGAAGCATAATTTTTCGTTACTTTGTTGTTTGATTTTTCCCTTGCTCATGCCAGGAGCAACCGAAAGGACATGTTGAAGCATCAGGTAATTGATTTTATTTTACTTCATTATTTATTTAGCATTCAGTTCTCCTTTATGTCTTTTGTAGAAGTCCTGCAGCCTGATCCTTCTGCTTTTACCTAAAATGCCTTGCACTTACAAAGCTGACGTTGCGTATGCGGTATCAATGAAAACAACAACATACACCTCCAAGGAAGCCTTCCAAAACTGTCATGCACACATTGTTGCATATCTGAATACACAGATGGGATTAATTCAAGACAACAAGGCTTGATATATGACTAAGAGGTTTCCTAAACTGTAATCAAAGACAGAAATCAGTATTGGTTGTTTGAAATACAGATGAGGATACAGGATGCGCTGTGACTGGAATAAAATTTCTTCTGACATCTGCTACTGACCTGAGCTTTGACAGGCCCTGAACATCCCCAAAGCCAGTGTGATCTTATGATGCTCAAGCTCAGCATCCACACAGCAAGATTCAAGGTGAACTGAGTTTTCCCCCTGACAGATTACGAGGATGGTGGAGTTAATCAGTTAAAGTCTCCAGTGCAGGCACCTGGCGCTATAGCACTGCAGTCCCTCTGTACCCTGAGGCATGCACACACACACACACACACACACACATCCATAAATCAATGAGATTACTCATCTGAGCAATCTGACAAAAAGATTTACACTTCTTGCAGCATTCGAATTGGGAGAGAAGACTGGCAAACAAAACTCCCAATGTGAAGATGGCAGAAAGAAGGAACTAACTGAATTTCATATTGTTCTTGCAGTGGGAAGTTTCATAAAACGAATAAAAAATACTCTACTCTGAGTGCATTTTAAAACAATTTATTTGCAAACTCAGAGAGAGCATTTACAATGGGAGAACCATTCAAATTGTGCACCAGCTAAGCAACAAGTCTATCCATCACGGAAAGCAAATATCACTTTCTTTTTTACAAAGCTGGTCTTGCAGAATAGTTGCACACAGCTGGAGGCAAGTAAGTGACACACACTGAGACTCATTCTCTGACCTACTGTGGAGAAGGTGCTTCCAAAACCCTGGAAGAAAAATCTGTAAACTCTCGAGACCTAATTTCATGAAGACTATGCCAGCTCACCACCCTTTTGCTACTTGATTATATTTCCCTGTCTATTGCCTGACTTCTTTACAATGCAGCCAAAATCTGTATTACTAAGGTTGTCTGTGCTGGAATTTCTACAGGAAAAAATAGGCTTGAGAATATTATGGGAAATTTCTCAAAAAAAAAATTTTGGGATGGGAACAAGCATTCCTGGGCTTCAAACATGGAGCATAGGTCCATTGCACTGCACAGACCAGTTCTTATGTCTATCAGTGGGAATCTTTCAATTTTCATAGAAAAATGAGCCTCTCCTTGCTGGGTACAACAGTCAGTAGTGGTCTCTTTTATTATCCTCTGAGCACTTGTGCAGTGACTACACATAATTTGCCTCTCAATCTCTGCTTCAATCTCTTTACTTAGACAACTGGAATAGTATTATCCAATTCACAGCATTTTTCTGAAGGAAGGAGAGCAATGCATTGAAAATGAAAGGATTCTTATTTGCTGCTCCAGAGGGAGCTTCAGAAAAAGCAGATATTTTCTTTTGCATTTCTAAATCTCTAAAAAAGAGCTACTGTTCGATGCATCTCCAAACTCACCTACAAAGCAAGCCAGAAGGTACAGATTAATCACAAGGGCTTTTCTGAAAATTCTTACTGCTGGGAATTTAGAATGGGCTATGTATTTTATGAGGTGAAGGTCTGGTAGTTTCCAGTAGCTCACATGACTTACAAATGTGCCTAAGAAGACTCTTTCTCACAGGAAAAGGAAAACAAAAGGGCCTCAATTTTATTTTTTCCATAGCCTTCTTCCCTTCTACACTTTTCTTTTGTTGACAGCTGTTCTGGCCAGAAGCCAAGAAAAATATTACTTATTTCGATACCATGTTTTACATTCTGGATAAACATTACCAGTGGTATTTTCTCATATACACTTTTTTTTTTTTTCTTTGACTTAGGGAAGAACTTGATAACCTTTACGCTGCCTTCCTGGTTAAAATATGAGGTGCTAAAAATACAGCACTGGTGAGCATTTAGCCCAAGCTCGAAATGGCAAATGTGCACGGTTCCTGGAAGCCTGCGCACATATTACTTATGCAGATTAGCAGAGATTTGTGCAAGAGCACAGAACGAAGCAAAGTGACTACTAAACTACAGCATTTAATGTTCCACTGAGCTCAGGCTACAACGCCTAATTACTCCTTGGCAGTCATTTGCGCAGTTGGAGACAAAATGAAACTTACAGCAGCATTTTACCAAATTAGTGCCATGAGAGACATACATTTACGAGAAGGTTAACATTCTAAGAAAGAGAGAAATTTCTCTGATAAAACTAGCTGGAAATGCTGCATAAAAATAAATCCTTGTGGTAAGACAAGGGATTTGCAATGAGAAAAGCTGCCATTTTCTCATAGTCAAAGTTAGGACCTGTGGGTCCCTAAATGATAAATCTGACTCAAGTTTCTCTAAGCACTTCTTGGGAGGTTTGGTGAGCCTCATGTATGGCACCAGAGGTAGAGACCACACCTCCCACCATACCTGCTTAAGGACAACACAGACCTATGTAAACTGCAGAGAAGGGAGGGAGGAAGACATTCAATTACCCAAATGCTGATACTTGGTGCCATTTAAAATGCTGTAGGATATTCAAGACATCTGTTTGGGGCTCTTAGACTTAATGTGGAAGACAGGGAAACTTGTGTCCTACCTGAATGGCAGCAGGTAAGAAGAAGCCTAGTAGCAGACATATCTCAGGTTAACTGAATAGGATTTGCAATCTCACTCACTCATACTTTTGCACAGTATTTGCTGTACTGAGAGACTTGAGAACATGGCTCCTGTGAACCTGTTACTAAGTGGGGTGGGAGGACAGAGCCATTGCAAATAGGTCAAATCCATACAGGCACACTGGGCAGTAGGACATGCAGGAATGAAGTGACAACTGTGAGGTACATTGAGAGCAGTCAGCTTCTCGCATGAGCCTTGGGCAGGTAAGAGGGACTGACCTACATGGAAAACTGACATGGCTCCTCCAGTTCCAAAGACTGGGCTTTGGAAAATTCAGGCTCCCCTCCCTGAGACAGCCATCCCAGACTGGTACTGGGGAATTACATTAACCCATCTTTATGTATCCCAATTTTCCTCTTTAAAATGAATCCATGATATTCACCTCTTACACAAATGCTGCAAAGAGAAATGCTTCTCCCTTGTCTATATATCAAGGTGGGTGTTAAACAAGAGACTGATGCTGAAGGATTTCAAGCTGCAGGAAGTATGGCTGAAACTTTTAGAAAACAACCTGCTATTCAATCAGGCCAGAAAGATGACATTAAGCAAACTCAGGGTTTTTATATATTCATTTTTGTGAGTGATGTGGGAAAGTACTCTTCAAAAGTGGAGGTAACTGTTTTCTGAATAAACCAATTGTTTCCACAATCTCAGAGACCATTTCTCCATTCTTTCTATTTCTTAGGCTAGGTAACTTTTTTTCATTTCTATTCAAGGAAGTAATATAACTGCAGCAGGAGAGCAGCTGGAATAAGTGCTGGACACTGTAGTCACCTAACCTGACTCTAGCCATGACCAGACCAGTGATATTTTCCGTTTCTACTGCCTCCTGTGAACTTGAGAATGAATTTTTAACCAAAGACTGTTAAAATTTAAAAGTTGTAGACTGAACAATTCAGGACTGGTTAGATAGCAAAGTCATCACTTGTGTT